ATCGGAATTTTAAAAGAAGGTAATCGAGGAGGGTTGCCACCTCTTCTGCTCTTTGCGGAAAAGTTCCGCTTTTTTTCCGCTGTTCCACAATTTTTCGCTTTTTGATATGGGAAACTTAAAATTTATTCTTTATTTAAAAATTTGTGGCAATAAAATTCATTACGATTATGTTCACTATGTTAGCTGTAGAGACCTGCATCAAAATGAATTTCGAAGTTGTTTTGAAGTCAACTAAATATCTTGCCAATAATTCACTTTGAATATCAGAATCTTTGTGCTTTTGTAGGCTTTGCTCTTTGATTGATTTTCTATAGGCCGATGTACCTTGGAGATTCGATCAACATCACATTGAGGCCTACGAACACGAAGAGAAAGTGGGAATCAACTTTGACTCCGAGTTTTTCCATTCCGATTTCCTCTTCGTGTCGGTACACTTCAATGTGACGTTGATTAGGCCTCCAAGATATATCCGATTGTGGGAAATCGACCAAAGAGCAAAGCCTGAAACGCATAAAGTTTCTGATGTTCAAATGAATTATTGGCAAGAAATTTATTTGACTCCGAAACGACTTCGAAATTAACTCGGATGCAGATCTCTAGTTATCTGTCATTTACAATCTATTATTTTCTAAATGATGCTTTCCGTGTTCTATTTCGGAAAGCAGTGCTACTACCGTAATTGTTTTTTCGGAACCAATACATATATCCGATAATTACGGCAATTGAATGTCAGTCGATTCAATCGTTGCACAAATGCAGATTCATTGAAATACTTTATTGTCACACGAACACGCATATACTTTCATGATTTCAAAAGGAGTTTCTAAGCGAAAACCATTGGAACGGCACATGTAACTGATTTGAAAAAATCATGTGCTTAATAAAATATCATCTTCCTTATGTATTTCTCATTGTGTTTTGGAACTTTGAGAATGAAGAAGTATCACAGAAAGAAGCAAAAAGTTATTTAAACCCATAGCAATGTCAAAGTCTCACAAAAAACAGCTTTCCGCAATTTTCCCATTTTTTGTACTTTCTCTTTCCGCATTTTTCCGCTTTTCTGACTGAGCTTTCCGCTTTTTTGACTTGACCAGGTGGCATCCCTGTAATCGAGCAAAATGCTTATAACTTTTTAACGAAGATAGCTAGGGCCATGCAATTTTCACCAATCGAAAGAAAAGACATGGGGATGTCTTTTTCTTCAATATTGTATAAAAATGAAATCACTGTAGAATCAATCATTTCTACAAAACATTACAAAAAATGCATGAAAACGATCTGTTATACTGATGAAATTTTGGTTTTGACATATGATCTAGAGAGAGGAATTTCAGATCTATAGTTCAAGATATAATTCGGATCATTATCTTCTCACATTCTGATGTTGAGCAAATAAAATCGTCTATTTACTTCCACGAAAATTATGAATTTCTTTTATTTTTTAAGCAAATATCTTAACTTTTCGTCAAAGCTTCATCTGAATGACAGACCATTTTTTATTCATTATTTGGAATGTTTTACAGAAATGACTGATTTTAAAATGATTTCGTCTTATACAATATTGGAGAAAAAGATATCCCCATGTCTTTAGGGAACTGCGGACCCACATTTTTTTTGGATCTGGACCCCATATGATGCGCTATATTAGTTTCCAAGAAACTCAATAGGTTTCTGGACACCAAATCAATTTCCGAAAACTGCATTTCGTTTTCCTAGTGGACATACTAGGCATAATGGACATATGATACTTCATATTGTTTCCAAGAAACTATATATGACTTTCCGGATATCAACACACACAGCATCTTTGCTACTGTGGATGATGGTGAAAACAAACATAAATAATGTTCAGTGCCTTTATGTATTTAGAATATGCGTAAATCAATCGGTTTCCTTTTCTAGAAACTAGTTTGATTCGAAATTATGTCCATTATGCCCATTGTGAACCTCTTGTCCATCTCTTTGCAGTGAAAACAGTTTCCTGAAAACTAATAGAACGTGTTGAATCCCAGATCCAGACATGGACCCGAACAAAGTTTAAGATTTGGATCCAGACCCGACCTGGACCCAAAAAAAAATTAAAAATTTGCATGTGCACCCAATCCAGTTCCCGTTGGGTCCCGACCCGACCCCAAGCGGATCCAAACTCGAAATTTTTTCCATTGATACCTAGCATCCTTCGTGTACATGAATAAGTGAAGGATCAAGATTTCAGCTATTTATTTGCTACACTCAGAAAAAATCTCAACGTACAGTTATATCTTGTTGCTGTATTTCTTACCTGGACAGCAGGGGTCCATAAAAAAGTGTAACCGAGCCCAACAAAAGATAAAAGGTTGCACCCGGATCCGAAAAAAAACAACTTTGGAACCAGATCGGGCTGGGTCCGCGTTTGGGTCGAATCCCGATCTCGAAGGATCTGCAGCTTCCTATATATCTCTTCTTTCGGTCGGTGAAAACCACAGGACTCTAGCTATCTTCGATAAAAAATTATAAGCATTTTGCCTGATAACTTTCTTTTAAAACTCCGATAATAATCAGATGATTAGTGAAATGAATGATGCATTTTAAACAAGGGGGAAACAGCGATCTGTGATTTTGTGATCTAAAATGATCTAAGATGATTTAAATGATTTTTGGTGATTGAATATCGTGCAAATATTTCCCCCCATAAAGTGATTGTTAGAGTTATTTTCGATTAATATCTTCTATGAAGAAAAGGTAATTGAAATTTACAGTGTTAATATTTAGTTTATTCCGATTATTGATGAAGTGATTGTTCGAATATTGGCTCTGTATATTAGAAAAAGCCAAAGACTTGTATAGATAAAATCATATTCATGTAACATAGTGTATGAGTTATACATTTAGATTCTTCTTCTTGCACATCTGCTCAGTCAGATACATTTATTGTCACTGCAACCCAGATCAATCATGGTCGGTCGTACACTAACCAATCATGGCGGATAACGGCGACTGTTTACGGTAGCCGTTTACAGTCATGGTAAACGATACTTTACAGCATATTACGACCACCGTAAACAATGCCCGTAAAAGACCACCGTAAACCACTAGCATAATAATACGGCGACTGTATACTTTGTTCGAAAAACACCGCCAGACATCGAATACGTCAAGTGTTCGCGGTAGCCATTTACAACAGTCGTAAATAACGCTTTACGACATATTACGACCATTGTAAACAACGACCGTAAAATGTCCCCGTCAACGACTAGCGTAGCAACACAGCGGCTGTATACGTCGAGGAGATAAGATGTCGTAAAACATCGTGTACATGAGTTGTATACGGTAGTCGCTCACAGCGATCGTAAATCATGCTTAACGGCCATCGTACACAATGACCAAAACAAGTTGCCGTGAACGACTTCCGTAACAATACGGCGAGTGTATACTCTCGTCAGATAATATCGCAAGGTACCGTCTCGGTCTACTGGAACTTGTCTGATACAGGATCATTATTTTTTATCGTATTTCGTCGTAAAAAGTTGTTAACGTTGGCGAACCCCACTTATTCAATATAAATAATATGCTTTCAGGATCAGCTAAACAGGTCGCTAGATAACAAGAGTTCCATTTCGACAGAGTTGAGAAAGAATCGCGAATTCTGCCTTCTGCCATGAACAATACTTTTATAAAATTCAAGATTTTTAGAAGTACCTTATTTATGCGATTTCGGTTGATATCCCTTGGGGTCTCGATAAAAGGATGTGGATGAGAGGGGTATGAGGTGTGGGGTGTAGTGTGGGTGCGGATGTGGCTCTCGGTGTAAGTAAAAAGAAAAATGACTCCCACACCCACACCCACACCCTTGTTATATATATAAATGCATTAATGATGAACAACCAACAATTCGTACATTAACTGACGAGGGAACATTCTCAAGTGTCACATCGCTTTTGAGTCGAGCGTATGTGCATCATGTAGACCCTAATGATCTATGAATACTCTGAAGAAAGTTCGTGCTGCTAGCTTATTACTGCCGAGATATTGCATTTTTATTGTATGTTTAAGAAAAAAAGCTGTGGTCCCCCTCAGGAACACTAGAAAACCCAAGTTTCGAACTTCGATTTGAAACTTTGCATAGAGATAGGCCTCAGTGAGAATAGTTTATTGTGAAAGTTTCAGATCTTTTCGTTGTTCCTATCCTAAGATACAGCTATGGTAAAATAGCTTATATACATCAGCAGATTACGATTTTCTTATTTCAGACTAGGAGTAATCAAAAGATCTGAAACTTTTACAATAAACTATTCTTATTGAGACCTGTTCTTGTACAGAGTTTCAAGTTGAAATTCGAAACTCAGTTTTCCTAATGGTCGTGAGGGGGACCACGGCTTTTTGCTTATGCATACAGTAAAAATGCAATATCTCGGCAGTAATAAGCTAGGGGTACGAACTTTCTACAGAGTATTCATAGATCATTATGGTCTACATGATGCACATACGCTCGACTCAAAAGCAATGTGACACTTGAGAATGTTCCCTCGTAAGATTGAACTCCTCTTCAAACACACGATCTGTCACTACACATTTAGTAAGGTTTTACGATAAATTATTGGAATGTGACACATTTTATATTAGATTGAACTATCTTTTAATAGGCAGTCGTACATGGTTTTGTCAGTTTGTCGCAGAACATTTTGAGGATTTTACGTTTTATCCGACAGCAGAACACCCAATGGTTTTTTACTTTTGACCTTTGATCCTGACACATACACACAAACTATTATATTCTTTTCATATGACCGTTCCTTCAGTCGAGGGAACCATACCAGGAACACAATGAGAAATTAGGGAAGAACTCCTTCAATTAGAAATACGCAAATTATGTCAATTTTTACCACATAGTTTTTATTCCATTTATCACCTATTCACCACTGAGCAACGGTCAAAAGCTCTTCAGTTAAACGATGAACGTTATAAAATAATACAAGAAGTAAAAAGACAGTAGTGGCATGTATCTTTGTCTGTTTATGAAATTAAATTACAAGGATATGATCAATAATACTACCACCTTGCTGTGTTTTTTGATTTATATTTCTAGATTCGATAACCGATAGAAAGAAGCGCTAACTCTCATGAATAGCCGATCGGATATTGGAAGATATAGATGCAATCCTTGCTCTAATTTCATGATCTTTGCTTAGTGAGTGTTTCATACTTATTAGAGCATGTTCATTATACTTTCGTAGACAAGTGTTATGATTTATGATTTTTAAACTTTTTAATTTCATTAATACACTCATTCTCACTCCTTGTTAAACTATAATCTGTACTTATTGAAAAAAGGGATGATAACACTTGATGTAGCATCAAACACAGTAGTGGTACAATCATTCGTTCCCACCTTTCCATTGCACTTTGCTGGTAATGTTGTACGAGGCCATCCATGTTGCCCTTCAGTGATCTTGTATCCTATAACAATACCACCTGCTTTACAGTTCGTGTTCCACGTTTGAATTTCAACCAGTTGTTGAGGGTCTGTTCCTTTCGATAGATGAGAGATTGTCGCGTTGCCCTGACATCCATTGCGTGATGCCCATCCTTGTCGAAAACTGTTAATACTGACCTGCGGCGCACCGTGTGCTTGTCCACCATTATATGCCGCCACACTGTCTGCAGTACCGTGAAAGTCGAGAATGGGTATGGCACGTTGAGTGGGACAATCTCCGTTGAATGTAGTCGTATAGAAAGCTGCTGAGACAGTTGCAAAGGCGGCAAACTTTGCAGCTATCCATGGTGTACAGGCGAGAAGGTTGACGAATCCTGCACCTAGACAATTCCGAAAAACATTATCCAGCTTTCATATATTTTGCAAATTTTGGAAGAATTTCTAGGAAAAACTCGAGATTTCGAGCTCGTTTGGTCTGTACGGTTGAATTCGGCTTATCACTACGACAGGGAGTATTTAGAAAAAGAATGATAAGGACTTTTATAATGGCTGTTTTTACTTGAAGATACCGAAGAAAAGTCTTATAGAAAACTGACTTTTGTTGACTAGGGCCATAAATTGTTTTGGCGCATACAGTAGAGCTTTCTTTCTTTCAATAAGCAAGGATCAAGTTTGAGAACAAAATTTCGTTTTTGCAAAGAAGGAATAACTTACAGAGAATGTGTTTATGACAGAAGAGAAAAACATTTTAGGTATCCGACCACAAAGCTGGTTTTTTGTTAAAAATCATGATTCTTTAGAAACCAAGTTCAAATATCAATTCCAAGAAGCTTTTTTTCTTCTGTTCAGCTGAAACTTCCGAGTTTTTTCTTCTTAATGCCGAGAAGACCTTCATTCATCAGTCGTCATGTATATTTCAGTTATGGGTTCGCTTAGATAATGAATTTGAAAACTATTCACTAAGAGAACGATAACTTTCGCAATGGGTGAATCCATAGAGCGTCTACTACTTCGAGTGAAAGTTTTGAAATATTTCTGTACCTATGTAGAAAAATGTCGAATTTTAATCAGAGTATGAGAATTAATGACCAAACCAGGTATAGCTCTCTTCTATGAGGAATCAGGTGTATTCATGAGTGGATTGGATCTGTAGGCTACATGATAGAAGCGAGTTTTAGCTTTTTCGTTCCTTGATTTTCCAACCCCTGTGATTGATGTCAAATACTGAAAGTCACTATAAAGAATCTTTCTAACCTGCGGCAGAGTTCCGTGAACTTTTGTTCAAAAAAAACAGGAGAGGACCAGAGCTAATCCGACTTAACTTATTCGGACTCATTATAGAAGACAGCTACATCCAACATGGTCGCTCATTTACATAATCGGAATAAATTTTCATCTTTTTAGATAGTTATAAAAAATACATCAGCATAGTCGTCATGGAATAAAGGTGAAACTCGCTCTCTCTTTCGTTCATAGGGATAGTAGGCATGCAATACAAAATCCGTCCGAGAGGGGGTGTCCTCAAAACAATCGACAGACGAACTTAACGTTCTCTTTTGTTTGTTCTGGAGAAAGTTCCACAACATATCTAAAAAATGTTTCATGCTGCTGGTAGAAACTCTACGGATTGACACACTAACTTTACTGAATATTCAGTAACCAAAGAAGTATAGACCGGAAAGAGCTGAGTGTTTCTTTTTAAAATCCATTTGTATAGCCACGACGAAGTGACAAGGGAATGTATATTCGTTACACTTGGATAAAGAATCTGATCGTCAAATAAATAGTAAAAACTACAACATACCATTACTCTTGCCAGTTGCATAGATTCGAGACGAATCGACACAGAATATACTTTGGAGTGTGAAGATCATTGTGTTCACAAAAGCAATCTATATTGCTAACTCTTTCTGAATAGAAGTGGAAGAGGATCGAAAAGGACTCACATCATCTACACCGGGAGCAGAATATGGCGCACCTTGCCAAGCAGTCTGTCCATCCGTCCCCAGCTTTCCCTTAGGATAGACAGCGATGATTCCCGCACCGCTGATAAGTAGACCTTTTTGAGATAATTGAGATAGATCTTCTTGTTTGTCCATATCTCCATTGTGACCATGAAAGGAGAAGACAATAGCGTGTCCTCGATTGTTTTGAAAGTTGGCTGAGAGGTGCACCTTGTAGTGACGAACGGGTTGACCATTTGCCGCGGGAACCCTTATTGATGTCGTTTGACCCGCAGAAAAATCACTTGGCAGAGGTTTTCCACAGCCAGAACTCAGTACAGATTCCGATGGAAGCACCATCAGAGCGAGAACGCTCGCCCAACAGAGTAGGAGTTGTTGTCGCATGAATGTCTTCGAATGAATGGAAAGACACATTTATATAAAGAAGATAACGTAGCAACGACTAAGTCGCTCTTTCTCTCTCGAACGCTGGATGATACAAAACTCATTATAAGTAGATGTTGTTTTGTAGTTTGAACAAATACTTGTCTTCAATTTCTTTCTGTAAATGCATATATTTTATCTTATGTAATTACATTTAATATTTGCGAAATCTATACTGTGAATGTAAATACGCTTTTGTGAGCTCTCTCTGAGATGTGATCTAGACGTCGTTTACTAAAGAATATATTGTGATAAAAAGAAAACTCCAAAAAAATGTGTGTATTACACATAGGGAGAAACATTTGGTACGAAACTTTTTTCAGATCGAGAGAAGAAGAAAGGTCTGAATAAATACCTTTTTTTTTGAAAGTGTATCATAGATAACAGTCTTTAAAAAAAACAGAAATATATAATTGAAAAAAGAAGACGATTAAGCGAAAGCTGTGTAATCGCTGATAGCTGCCTCGTATTAGTTGCTAAGCTCTCGTTTTTTTACTCATGTCATGTGATACGAAGAAAATGGAAATTAAAGAGGAAAGAAAGCGAATCCCTTATTAGCGCTGCTCGACAACATATTGCGCAGTATTTTATTTTTTATTTGAACTCTTCAATCTGCTTTCTATTTTATACGTAAACGAAAATGAATTCGGATCAAGCAAAATGCGTGAGTATCTATGTGGAACTATAAAAAGCGGGGTTTTTCAAGTAAGTGAAAAGACAAAGTTTTTTCTTTTCAAGGAAATTTTAGCTCCGGTGCACGTTGAGAACGTGATGGATTGTAAAGAGACTAGGAAAAAAAACAATCCGGCTGCTAAAATAAATAGAGGACATTTTAAATAAAAACCGAAGAAACCTAAGGAGGTAGACGCGAAGATGGATGCTAGAGATTAATAAATAATATTCAAAGATCGACGAATGACATCACAGCTAAAAAAGATTATAGATATCTTAGGGTGTGGGGCTTCTTCACAGCCACAGCTACAAGCACACCCATCCACACCCACACCTCACACCTACACTCATACCAACACCCGCCACCCACACCCATTAAATTTGATTCTATTCTTGCGATTGTAAAAAGCCATGTATGAATTAGAATCATTGATCCTGGAATGATTTTTTTGCTGAGTTAAAATGGTTTAAAATGATTTAAAATGATCTAAGATGATCCAAGATGATTTAAATGATTTAAATGATTTAAGATGATTTATTTGATCTAATTTTGATTTTCGGCTGATCTAAATCAGTTGTTTCTCCCTTGGTTTTAAATGACTTTATTTTTCGTTAGAAAATAAGTACACGCAATAATCCGACATATTCTCGTCAGGATATTTCTATCAATACTTTATTCTGATAATAATGATCTTTAATCGAAAACAAGTACATTTGAAAAGTCAATCTGACTAATTGACTTCCATTTCAAATTGTTCCGAAAGTCGTTCAATATTCAATTTCATCTTCCATAGAATTTCATGTCCGGAGGGCAGACATTTCCTGTAGATAGCCAACGCTTGTTGATAATAATGAAGTGCCAATATAGATTTATGAAGGTTTTCATAAATCTCACCTATCTTCAATAAACTATGGCCAATGTTCTCATGATCTGGTGGTAAAACTTTGAGACGCTTTAAGAAACAATTCTGTTGATATATAAGAGAAAGTTCGTGCTCGCCTCTTGTTCTTTGTACTTGTGACAACCAATCAAGTATGTTAGTGATGGATAGATCTTGTGAAGGTAGGCTAGTTTCTTTAATTAATAAACACCTTTCCAAATATTCAATAGCAAGATCAAACTGAGACTTTCTATTAAAGTTAGTAGCAATCCAGAATAGGCAATGAGCAATTTCAATAAGATCATCCGGATAATATTCTTCGAATATGATCAATGCTTGTTGATAAAAGTCGAGAGATTCATCATATTTTGTTTGCTCAAACAGAATACTACCGATGTTCTTAAGATTGGTAACAATTCTGAATTGATCTCTAGGTGAGTTACTTCTAAGAACGGCCAACGCTTGACGTTGAAAGTGGAGAGCCTCATCATATTTTCTTTGCTTTTTCAAAGTTTGAGCGATGTTATTTAAACAAGTAGTGTAATTTGAATGATTGAATGAATTCTTCTCGTAAAATGTCAGTGCTCGATAATAAAAATCGAGAGCTTCATCATATTTTTCTTGATTACTTAGTATATTACCAATCGAACGCAAACAAATAGCAAGCTTTTCATGACCGGATGGATAATATTGCTCATAAATTGTCATTGCTCGTCGGCAGAAATCGAGGGCTTCATCATATTTTCCTTGTAGACTAAGAGCGATACTGATATATCGCAAACTTCCAGCAATATCAACATGACCAGATGGATAGCAGTTTTCTAAGATTGTTAAAGCTCGTTGATAACAATCAAGTGCTAGATTATATTCTCTTTGATCCATTCGAGTGTGGCCGATGCGATTCAAGCTATCCGCAATTTTCTCATGACAAGAGGAATAATTTTCTTCTCGAATTGCCAATGCTTTCTGTTGAAACTCAATAGCTTCTACATACTTTCCTTGTTTTCTCAGGTCATCAGCAATATTGATAAGACCATTAGCAATATCAATAGAATTCGATGGGCAACATTTTTCGTAGATTTTCAGCGCTCGTTGATAGAAGTTGACAGCGTCATCATACTTTCTTTGCCAATGCAGAGCTTTTCCAATATTGCTAAGTATGATAGCGATGTCAGCATAGCCAAATGCATGGCATTTCTCTCGAATAACTAATGATCGTTGATAGAATTCAATAGCTTCATCATATTTCTCTTGTCTATATAGGACATTACCAATAAAGTTCAGGCTCTTCGCGATATCATCATGAGAAAATTCATGATGTTTTTCTTGAATAGCCAAGGCTTTTTGATAAAGCTGAAGAGCTTCATCGTACTTCTTTTGTTTATATAGAGTGTTACCAATAAAGCTGAAACTATGGGAAATTTCGATGTGATCATCAGGATAGAAGTTCTCCTGTATTGAAAGTGCCCGTCGATAATAGTCAATTGCTATATCATACTTTTCTTCATCGTACAGAACATGACCGATATGATTGATAGTATCAGCTATGAAGACACTACCTGATGGATAATATTTCTCTTGAATTTCTAATGCTTTCTGATGATATTCAATTGCTTTATCGAAGTTTTCTTGTCGATGAAATGTTGTACCAATATTATTGAGGGTTGTCGCAATGTCCACATGACCATTTGAATAATACTTCTCTTGCACTTCAAGTGCACATTCATAAAACTTCAAGGCTTCATTGAATTTTTTCTGTCTAATGAGAAGATTACCGATGTAATTGAGAGTATTAGCTATCTCATGCTGACAAGATGGATAATATTTTTCTTGCATTTCGAGTGCTCTTCGATGGTAATCAAGAGCTTCATCATACTTTTCTTGCTTGCGTAATGTAACTCCGATATTATTCATATAAGAAACAATGGAAGAACGATCAGATGGATTATGTTTTTCGATAGTTGCTAGTGCTCGTCGATCCAAATTAACAGCTTCATTGTATTTTTCTTGCTTATGTAAGATGTTAGCCATACTACTGAGGCTAAAGGCCATTGAGACACTACCTGAAGGGTAATAGCTCTTCTGCATGGTTAGCGCTCGTTGACAATAGCATAGAGCTTCATTATATTTTGATTGGTAAAGTAGTAGATCAGAGATAAGATTGAGAGTGTTGGCAATTTTAGCATAATAAGATGGATAATATTTCTCTTGAAGTGCTAGTGCTCGTTGATGAAAATCAAGAGCTTCATCATACTTTCCTCGTTTCTTTTGTATATAGCCAATGCTGTTTAGAGTACAAATAATGTCGTCATGACCAAGAAAATAATATTTCTGTGCAATTTTCAGCATTTTTTCGTGAAATGTCAGAGCTTCATCATATTTGCCTTGTCTACAGTGAACATTTCCTATCCCACAATAACTATAAGCTATATCGATATGACCAGATGGATAATACTTTTGTAGCATTGTCAATGCTCGTTCATAAATCTTCAGAGCTTCATCATGTTTACCTTCGAGATAGAGAATATAACCGATGTAGTTGAGGGTGGAGGCAATGTATATATGACCATCTGGATAATATCTTAGATAGATTGACATTGCTTGTTGACAGAAATCGAGAGCTTTATCATACTTTCCTTGATACGTAAGAACCTGACCAATGTAGCCAAGACTAACAGCGATATCGATATGAGGCGATTGATAGTATTCTTTGAGCATCGCTAGAGCTTGTTGATGAAAGATAAGTGCTTCATCATACTTGGCTTGCCGAAAGAGGATTTTGCCAAAGCTACGAAGATTAGTAGCAATCAGGACATCACCACCTGAATTAATCTGCTTCGTTTGCAACGAGCCACTTTTCTGTATGTTTCGACATATGTTCATCAAACATCTTTCTTTCAACGGTTTACCGATGAGTCCCATTTTGTCGGCGGTATACTTCAATGGAAATCGAAACGAAATTCGTCGAAATTTTGTAGTGCAATACCATCGAAAAATTCGTCGGAACTTTATCGTACAATACCATCGAGAATTCGATTGAGAGAATCCACTTGAATTCAATGAAACTGGCCAGAGTGATGCTCGAATATGAATCAGCACACTATTAAGTTGATAATTCGGTGGACAAGGCCTATTATTCTTGGTAGAGGAATACTTTTGTTTTCGTATTGCCAATGCTCGCTCATAATAATTCTGAGCTTCTTCGTACTTTCCTTCTAGATAAAGAATTTCACCAATATTGAAGAGTATATTAGCTGAATCCTTGATTTGTGTTGATTTGATATTCGTCATCCGTTCATAAGCACGATCATAATATTTTCGTGCTTCATTCCATTCTCCTTTCCATTGAAGAACCTCGCCAAGACTATACTCAATCTTTACGAGATCTTCATTGTTGGTATTCGAGTTGTTCAATAAATGTTGAAAGAAGTGTTGTGATTGATTCCATTGACCCATATCACACATCAATCGTCCAAAGAGAATTTTGATACTTAAATCTTCCATTTGACGATGTGAGTCTTCGATATATTTTTCTTTAATAAGTTGACCTTCATTTGATGCACTAATTTCAATCAAACACATTTTCTCTTCCATTCTCACACTTGTCAATAGAAACGTGACATTTAAATCGAAGATAATTTCTTCTTGTTCTTCATATGGAATTCCGTTAAATTGCATGATGTTAGCAACAATGACACTGTTGTTCATATATTGTAGATCGCATTCGATTACTAGGAGAACAGAAATAAGATCACTTTGTTTCGAAGGTTTCATTGCTTGGTTCAATGCAGTTGAACGAAGAATATTTGCTGTGAAAAATCCATTGTTTGAAACTAGTTTACCTTCGTTCTCTTTGAATTTCTTGATTTGATCACTTGTCAATTTCATTCCTCGATACATGAATAGTGTTTCTTTATCAGATTCGACCATCTTTTTGTGTTCTCGAACGAGACTTTCTGTCAGATCTTTCATAAAATATCGAAATGTGAAGAGTTGATCGATATCTTTTGTTCTCAATGCTTTGTTGATGTTTTTGTAGAGAAATGATTTCTTCAGATACCATTGAAGTGCTTCTTCTGAACGATATTCATTTTCAAATTTCTTAAGCACTTCCAATTCTTTGATATTGTCTCGATAATAGGAACGACATGCATCGATCATTTCTTGTTTAGCATCTTCATCATATGTTAACTGAAAAAGAACATCATGATAAAGTTGAAACCAAAGAAGATCAGCAGTTTGTTTTGATAGATCTTTTGTCAAGCGTTCATTTTGATCAAAGAAGCTGAATATTTGTAAATCTCGATCGAGCAAATCCACTTGCTCTTGAATTGATAAACACAATAAATCGAGTTCATCATAGATACCAATAAATTTTGAATGTTCAAGAACAAAATGTTCATTATCGACTTTTTCCCAGTTGAAGACAAAGATACTATCAATTTGAGATAGAGTTACAATATGAGGCAATATTTGTGGTGCATCATAAATCGAAGAGATGAAAAAGACTATTTCATTATGAATCGATTGAATGAAACTAATGCAAGATTCGACCTGAGTATGAAATACAATAAAATCATTGATTTGACGTAATTGTTTCTTTATTTGTTCTACATAATCATTAGAACCGATCTTTGAATCGCACCAAATTACAGTAATGTCCTCTTTGTTATTAATTCTATTCATTATTTTCGATGAATTTTCTAGAATAATAGAAGATGTTGTAATCTATAGTAAAAACATTACGATAGTTGTTCAATTGAAATGTCAAATAGTCATTTGAATAAGAAAACAACTGACTTTAAATCTTGCAATAATGAAAAAAAACTGTAAATTTTCACGACACAAAAAATGTGAGTGTACAGGTCACTCATCGTGCCATCGGCATTGGTGGGTTCTGTTGGGCTTCGAGAGATGTTTAACTCAAAATATTCTGTCATGCAGTTTACTAAGCAGTCCTGCTCGGAAAGAAATTGACAGAAGAAAGGAATCTGTCAGAGGACTAATTGATGGAATTCGGTTGAAAATAATCAATGGTTCTTGGCCTTTCAAGAAAGAGACCTGAATGAGAGCGTTCATTTTCCAATATATGCCCCACAAAAAAGGAAAAAGTCTGAGTTATTCTCTTAAATATTTCATTATCATGATAAAGGCACATATGAAAAAAATGACTAGATAATCTGAGAGCAGTATAGAAATATCTAATCAATTTTCTATAAACACAATATTATCGTGATGGCATATTCAAGAAAACAACAGAAAATATTTTTATCCGAGGATATGTATTTGACACACAAAAATCAAGAAGGATTAGTTGAGAAGTACGATTATCAGAGACACAAGCATTTTGAACAATTATTTTTAGTATTTCAGTGACACTTAGTATTGCAGTACAAATATTAGAGAGTTCTTAAAATCAATCTCACTCTTGAAAATAGTACTAGATAAGAATTGCCTACGAAATCGAAAGGTACAGGATTCAGATTGCAAAAAAAAATTGTTAATTCTTACTTATGTGAGAATAAGTAAGCAAAGAAGAAAGAAGCCATTACTATCGTCTATTCATGTGACTTGACTTACCTTATAAAGTAAGACTAGTAGAACGAGTGATAATATTAAAATATACGCATTGATCGGCTAATATGACGCATACATCGTTGAAAGGAAATGACTAGTTGTATTCAAATGCGATATGTTTATATGTGCAAAAGAAATATTTTTTCTTTCACAACGTGAGTAGACTTCGTAATATAGATGCGTCACGCTATTGATCCTGTTCTGTTCTTGCACAATATCAATCATCTCTCTTTCTCTTACTCATTTTTCACCTTTATGGGCATTGTAATATCCTTCAAACGCATAACGATGCATTTTTGTGAACGACCAAATTTTTTCCGAAAGTTTTAAAGTAATAAGTTGAAAAGTTTCAATTTTGAGTAGCTAATCATGTAGGAAACTAATAGAATTAGCATTAATTGCTTGGAAAGATGCTGATTGTTATTCATTTTCAATAGTCATTAACATCGTTGTTGAAGAACATACAACTTGCATATGTGTACGAGATGTTTTCGATTGTACTTTCATAAAAGAGAAACATTGTACTAACTGTAAATGGATTTGTGAATTAAATCGTGTAATTTGCATTAAACTGGAGAGAGAGAAAAAAAGTGCAGAACAGTATCTGAAAATAACTTCACTGAGATTCACCATTTCAACTTTTTGCTGAATAATTCACAGAATGTCATAAAATATGAGTACATATCTTGCTCATCCTTCCGTACTACATATGATTTCCGCTTATAATGGCCACTATTATCCATCTAGAAATATAATGTGCTTCAATGTTTTTTGAATAACTCAAGAAGACAAATAGGTAGAGATCTGCGGTTTGCACCAGTTGATAGAAGACGATGGTGGACAGAAACTTATAAAAGAACCAAGAGCTCGTCATACTTTAAAAGTGATGCATTTTCTAAATATTTCAAAGATTCGATTATAAGATTATGATATTTCAATAGATTTTTAATTCTTATACCATTGATATATAGGCTGGAGCATCTTCTTTTAGCCTATCTAAGCCCGACTTTGATAACTATTGTAATTCAAGAGATAAACCATTTTTACTGAAGTTCACTCATCACCTTATCTTTTAGTTTGCGTACTCTGAATGCAAGTACAAATAGAGTTAATTAACTACGATAAATCTCTCATTAGTGGTCGTTATGTATGAAGGATACTAAGTAAAAGACAAGACGATCAGTGAAGTTCAGTAAGAATGTTTTTTTTTCCTTGCATCACAATAGCTATCAAAGTCGGGCTTAGACAGACCAGCAGAAGATGCTCCAGCCTATATATTCCTGATATAAGAATTAAAAATCTTTTGAAATGTCATAATCTTATAGTCGAATCTTTGAAAGATTTAGAAAACGCATCACCTTCAAAGTATGACAGGCTCTTGGTTGTTTTATAGGCTTCTGTCCACCATCGTCTTCTATCGATTGGTGAAAATCGCAGGTCTTACCCTATTTGCCTTCTAGAGTTATTCAGAAAACAATGGAACACATTACATTTCTAAATTGACAATCATTTTAATTACACAAAAAATAAAACTAAAATCTCTCTGCATTACATAAATGATAGTTGTGTAGTAAAACGATGATTTATAAAATCAATATTAATCGATGCTAATCTTTAGTCGACTGAGGAAAGAAGTTTTTGATTGTTGGATTAATGAGAACAATGAAAAGAAAGAACGGAAGCGAAAACGACTACAAAATCAGGTGCTTTTCAATTCTTTTAGAAGTGATCTTTGTGAAAAAAAAGATGACTTGAGTTTTGTTTAGATATTATGTTTTTTTTCTTACATTTTTCACCAGTCTTTAACAGATTTTGATTGAAAAAAGTAGATGTTTAGTGGAAACTAGTAACATATTTAGCATCAACATAAAACACTGAGTTGACTCATGTGTTTCGAAATTTTTCAGCGAACTATTTTTTATCGAAAAAATTCTTCGAAGATCTACCTCGAGATTCGCTGAACAAATGAATTTTATTAGAAAATCATTTCATCAGTCGAAAACAATTCGGAACCTATAAAACATCAGTGAGACACAAAAGAACAAATAACTAAAACAATAAAAATGGTATTTTGATTAAATTCATTTTTTTTTACTGGTCTCTAAAGGAAATCCAGCTGAATTTTTCGAGAAAAAAAATTTCTCGATAAACTCCAAAATATATATGAGTCGACTCAGTTTTTTATATTGATTTCAAATATGTTACTAGTTTTGATTAACTCTTTACCTCCCATTGGCAATTGGAATTGCCATTTTTAGAAATACCGTAAACAATTTAGCATCTGAAGTATTAAGAATCTTCTTGCATATTTTCTGTAGCAAATTCCCTAAGCTATTGATTGGCAAAAAAAAGAATCTTTAATCATGGCTCTGTTTCCAAGATGTCAGACTTACAAAAAGGTAAACAGACTGCCATTATTTATAAAAGTGAGCATCATTTGTTGTTATATAAACCTTTGAAGCAGATGTAGCTGGGTGTAAGCGTCGAAATTGGACAAGAACATACTCAAACCACACTCAGATTAACACCAATATTCACACCGTAATTTTTTCAGATCTTATCATATTTGAAGTTGAAGAACAGCGTATCAATAATTATGCTCTTTATTTATCAGTTCAGTTATTTCGAGAAGATCAGAGATTATCTGCATATAAACTTGCTTCAGATGCTCATGCGTCGTAGGAAAAAGAAGAATATTTTTTATATATTAATTTTTCCTTGTTTGTATTATTAAAATACAACAATATATGATATTTTTTGCAAAACCAATAAACTATTTTCAAAAAACTAAAAGAGTGGTTTTCATGTCGCTACCCCTCAATGGCAACTGGAGTTGCCAAATCACCGTGCGTACATGTAAGAAATCTTGGTCAATTTGCTAATACTATTGGCCTACTAAAGATAACAGTACTCCATTTCACTAATTGTTTTATTAGTGTCTCTTCTGGAACCATTATAGGAGGTAAAAGGTTAAAAGCCTACTTTCTCCAAACAATATCTGCTAAAGATTGGTGAAAATCTATCGACATAATTTTCAGTTAGAAATGCCTTAGTATAGAAAAATTAATACGAGTCAACATTCCTTGAATGAATTATCCATTGATGCTACAAACGCGAATATTGACATGTTGACTGTCCCCATGAGAAAAAGTAGTACTTGTTCTACGTTCAACTTTTATTTTCTTTTTAATTTTAAAATATATTATTTTTTGGAGTGTATTACGTTTATATACCACAAAAATAAGTATTAAACATATCTTCAATGTTTTTTTTTTCATGCAACATATATGATTCAACTGTCTCTCTTAGATCAAGTGTTCCTTTTATTTTGTTTTATATCGAAACCCTTTTTTTGTATAAAAAACATCTGAAATTGAGCATTCACTTTTTTTCTCAAATAAAAGCAAAGTGCTATGTTTTTTAGGACTTTATTATGTTCAGTGCATCATATGTGATTCGACCAAGATCTAGAATACTTCCTTATATCGTATCGATACGTTCCAATAGTTCAAATGCAGTCAGTTAGTTGCGTCTAACAAATTCTAGTTTCAAATATCATATGATGCATCGGACAGTCAATGTGTTAATAATTTGAGCAATAAAAAATTTCTAAATTCGCTTGTTGATAATAAATTTTTATAAACTACAAATATAGATTCATTTATGATCAAGTATATAGAAAAAATTTTAATTTTTTCTCAAAAAAATTCCACAGTCAAAGGATTAATTGTGTAGATAAATAATATGGTACTTATATCGATAAGGAAACATGTCGGTATTCTGTTAGAGATACCAATTAATACGTTGATAAATATTAACGTAGTTAGTTTAATATGATAGTCACCACAATCTCATACGTAATCACAAATCATGGCTATAGGCTTTTTTTCTCTTGCAAATTTCCGTTCTTTAAGTTCTTAATTCAACTGATAGATTTGATAGTCTTGTTTATTACAAAAAAAAAACAGTGACAGACATGGGATTGACTCGATTTCAACTTTTTAACAACGATATCGGTTCTATTCCACAAAAGAAAAATGCGAAGCAATTCCATCCGCAATGAATGATACCATAAAAGGTTAGTTGCTTATTATATAAAATAATTCTTG